CCTTATCTCTCCTGTAGTATTTATCTGTGCTCCTGTCTCAATTTCTATGTCCTAATCATTGGGTAAGACTCTGGGAAATCGCCCAATGTGCAAGAGAGAGGGGTAAGAGCTTGGCATGTCTGGGGACTAGTTGAATGTGCTTGGAATAGAATTGCCTTTTTCTCACCCTTTTAAAAGCATCACTTGCTCAGAAAAATCCTTGCCTGACCCCTCCCCCACCCCGACTAGATCAAGTCCCCTCTTCTCAGGCACAGAGCATTCCCTTCATGGCACTTGTCGGAGCTGCATCATTTGTGTATTTTCGTTAAGTGTCCGGCTTTTCCGCTAGACTGTGCTATCTGTCTTGTTCGCCACCATGTCTCCAAGCACCTTGGCTTATGGACAGCACCAAACACATGCATGTGGAATGAAGAGGAAAGGTTGAGCAGCAGAAAAAGCTGGGCAAGGAATCAGGGGCCGAGTCACGTGGGACTTTAAGCCCCACAGTATGGAGTTTACCAGCTACTGCCTCATGGCGTTAGTCATGGTTTAATGCACTATGTTGCCTCATCTCTATTAGAATAAGCTCCTTAAAAATAGTAAGTACAACTCACCCCCTCCTGATATGCCCTTAAGCCCCGTAAGAGTGTTTGGCTCGTGGTAGGTACTCAAAATGTACTTATTAATTGATTTCAAGCCATGACTGTGTTTGGGACATGTGTGGGAACCATACAAGTACATACAGGTAGATTAAGGAAGATCCAGGTCGTGCCTTCCAAGAGCTTTCAGCCAGAGCCGGAGGGGTTGCCAGGCCAAGACTGAGGCTATCACGCTAGTGATCACAAAGACACGAAAGCGTTGCCGGGGCAGAGGTGTTAAGGGGTGGCCTGGCTTCCTGGCAGAGCCAGATGCTGAAGCTGCAGGGTTGGTGGATGAGGGGGGGCACGAACCATGTCTGCGGCAGAGGCTCCTGACTCTCTCTGTGCTGGTGTCCCCCTCAGGTTTGCCATCGGTAACCAGGCCACTGGCTGGTGCTCCCAGGGCTGCCAGGCCATCGTGGACACGGGCACCTTCTTGCTGGCTGTCCCCCAGCAGTACATGGGCTCCTTCCTGCAGGCAACAGGAGCCCAGCAAGCTCAGAATGGTGATGTGAGTAACCAGAAGCCACGGGTGTGTCTGCACGGCCAGGCAGCCTCCACATGGGAGCCCAAGCTCGGGCAATGAGTTCACGGGAAGGAGGAGGGAGGGCTG